AAAATTTCACTTGAATGCATTCCAGTTTTGTCCGAAAAGATGACTTAATGGCAAAAATTTTCGATGACAATCAAACCATGAAGTCTTTCTCGTCGTTACGGAGGTCGAAGCAGAATAATTTTTTATACAATTTGGGCATGTTGTCTTTCCCACGGTACTCCAACCCAACAACATTGAATATGCAGGAAAATTGTTAATTGTCCACGTGACAACGACTCTCATCCGAATATTATCCTTACGAGACACATCATAGGTAAGAGCACCTACTTCCTACAATTCAACCAACTTTTTAATTAAGGATTGTAAATATATGTCTAAATTGACTTTATGGTTTTTAAGACCTAGGACACTTACGAGTTAAGAACATATATTCTTCTTTAATATATTTTTACGATGGCAAATTATAAGTCGTTACAATCACATGCCATGAAGAATATTATTGTCCAGATTTATCAAAAGGCTGAAACTCATCAATGCAAACACATAATATAACATTCCTAATTTTTGATGCAAAAGAAAGATGTGTTTGGTCAAAACGTCGCCATACGAAGAAGTTTGAACAATGACACATGACGTCCGGCTCACAAATATGTTACGCATGCCACGTCATGTCACCGGTAGTGGCGGTCGATGCATACATCCTCTCGTAATCGTTAGGCTAGTAGAAAATAATATATTTTTTTATACGGGACATATGTTCCCCTAATCAATCCCCACCTAAGGTTTCGATATCAAGGATGATCACGGATTTTACAAGTGATTCTCTCGCTATTTTCAACTCAATAAATCATATAACTATTTATGCAATTATGGATATTTTAAATGGGTAAACCCACCATTTTCATCATTTTTTTATACTCGTAAAAGTCTTCGGCATGCGATTATCAACGGACATCAACTCTTTCATAAGTTGACATAAGTCGTCGTAACACCTCTCCGAGAAATGATGCTTAGACTTGAGATGTACCAAACAAGATATTTTCGATAACTCGTGAATGATTTTTTGAATCGAGCCATATTTCTTTAATCAATGCATCTAATAAATCGTAAAACGCTTAGGCATCGGGGTTTGGGTATTTGTACGTATTAGACAGATTAAATGATGGACTAGCTGCATCCATCACCATTGTGTGGTATCAATTGACTAGAGGATCATCAAATATTTATACTTGTTGAACATAATTAATCGAATTATCATAAATGATCAAATCATTCTCTCCATGACGGCTCCACACATAATACCTAGGCACAAAACCATATCTCATCAAATGATACTTAACGGTATTAGGTTTTTCATAACTATGATTTTGATATTTTGTAAGTTTACAAAGACATCGTATCTTATTTTCATCCATGCACTCTAAATGATCAACCATAAAATTAATAAATTCATTAATCTCATCTATGAAACGCTCATTTAATAGTCCATCATTTAATCTAAAGTCAATCCAAGAACGATCCGAATTCATTTTAAACTAAATAATTTTTTAATTACTAATTAATTTTGTAATTACTACAAATTAAAAATATTTGTAATAACTTAATTTTGTATATACTAAACAAAATTCTGAAAAAAATTAATTTTTTAATTGTTAATTAATTTTCTAATTACTTAACTTCTTTACTTAATCAACAACTAAATAAACTTAATTACTAATAAATTTTAAAATTTCAAAATTAATTAATTTTTTAATTACTAATTAATTTTGTAATTACTTAACACCTTTACTTAATCAACAACTAACTAAACTTGATTACTAATAAATTTTAAAATTACTAAATAAAATTTCAAAATTAATTAATTTTTTAACTACTAATTAATTTTGTAATTACTTAACACCTTTACTTGAATCAACAACTAAATAAACTTAATTACTAATTAATTTTATAATTACTAAATAAAATTTCAAATTTAATTAATTTTGTAATTACTAAAAAATTAAAATTTTTCTAATAACTTATTAAAACTTTTTCTAAAATAATTAACTTTCAAAAATATCAACAATTAAATGAACTAAATTAATAAATAACATTTAACAATAAACTAACTAAATTAACAATTAACAATTAAACTAATAACAATAACAATTGAATTAACAATAAAAATTAATAACAATTAAATTAACAATTAGACAATTAAACTGTCACAATTAAAAAAAATCATTTTTAACTATTAAATTTCCTTAACAATTAAACTAACTAAATTAACAATTAACAATAAATTAATTAAATCAACAATTAACAATAACACTAACACAATTAACAATAACAATTAATTGAACAATTAAACAATTAAACTCTCACAATTAACAAAAATATTTAATAACAATTAAATTTCCGTAACAATTAAACTAACTAAATTAACAATTAACAATAATATTAATTAAATCAATAATTAACAATAACAACAACACAATTAACAATTACAATAAAATTAACAATTAAGCAATTTAACTCTTACAATTAACAAAAATTAATAACAATTAAATTTCTTTAACAATTAAACTAACTAAATTAACAATTAACAATAATATTAATTAAATCAACAATCAACAATAACAACAACGCAATTAAGAATTACAATTAATTAAATTAACAAACATAAAGTATAATTATATCATCCATCCAAATTCAATTGCCCAAACAATAATTTTTTATCGTTTTTTGAAATTTTTTAAATATAGTTATCGATATTTATTAAATAACAATAATAACAACTATTACCACTAAATAATATTATTATTGTTGCTATTTATGTGAAACAATTATAAAAATTTTATAACGATAAATAACAGTAATAAATATGTTCGATACCATTAAACATTGATTGTTACGTAGCGTAACTGACTGATATTTCAAACTATGCTTAGAGCTACTAGTTCCAACAAGCCCTGCAAGATCAGTTAAATATTCCTATCGAGATTTCTTTCAGTCCAATAAAGAAAAGAGAAATTCTTGATGGTGAGGTGTGCTAGTTACCTTCCCTGTTACCTTCTCCCTCTTGCTTTAACAAATGTCCCACTTTCTAGAAGCAGAAACTTGTAACCTGGACCAATATAGTTTGTGGCAATGTTGTGACTATATTAAAACTTATGTCTAACTAGTAAAATCATTACATTGGGTGTGTTTAATAAGCCAAAGCTGTCTTCTTCTTCGTTTCTATACTCTCTTTGGGGACGAGAAATGAAGAGGTATAAGTGAAAAGCTGACATATCTTGAGGATCCCGAGAAAAAAAAAAAAAAAAAAAAAAAGCTGCTTCACTTGTGAACGAAAATGGCAAGCCCAATCAAGCCAATTTAGACCAACATCTCTAGTGAACCTTATAATTCAAAGAAAATGAGAGTTTCTAATATGCAAATAAACCATCGAAACCTCATGAAAATTAATAATAATGATGGTTACGAAGGAAAGAAAAAGGCAAGTATGTTGAGATTTTGACAATATCATAGCTTTGATTCTTTACTAGGAGCAAGTCAACATCATCCATTTTTTACTAGAACGGATAGGAAATCCATTGGGTCTTCTGGTATGAGATCATTCTGTTCGCTGAAGCATATAAAATAAAGTGCTTGACCAAACCTCATGATCTCGGGTTTTCACCAACGAATATGTGCATTCCAATGAATCCTCTAGATATTGTGACACATTCTGACATCTTAAAAATATGTGCATTCCACATTGAAGATAATTTTTAAACAAGCTAAAACCCAATCGGGTTTCAGCGTAGCCACAGTCCTCTCAGCTACAATTAACACGTCTAAAACTACGTCATTTTTTGCCATTTTTAGCTCATAACTGCATCGTTTCCTTCAAAAATGAATTCATTTTAATCCTTAATTTGTATAGAATGGTCTCTAAACTTCATTTTATTAAAACGAGGCTCTTGAAAGTAGAGAAGATGGACAAAAGAGAAGAGAGAATAAGTTTTATGGAGCTTCTAGGATTGATTAAAACATGTTTTGAACTTCAAAAATAGATTTTAAATGCTTTTTTAGATATTCATGTTTGAATGTAAAAATACTATAAAATGAACTTTAAACCAACAGCCTTCGATTTTTCAGCATTAGAAAGGCAAAAATGCATTAGTCCTCACAAACAAAACATCATCCGCCTATTTTTCTTCTTTTTTTACCTTTTTTTTTTTTTTTCCCAAATGATTTGACTCATCTACTCTTGTTTTTTTTTTTTTAATTTAATTTAACTTAATTTATGGTTAGGCTGTTCGTCTCCAACCCAAAAGCATGGGCTCATCAGTCCCTAGGCCGCCCAGCTTCCTCCCTTTCTTTTTTTTTTTTTTTTTTTTACAAATACATATTTTTCCTTTTTTATGTTTTATTATTTATTATTTGCTCAAAATAATATTTTTTTTCTGAATAGTTAATGGTTTTCTTTTTTTATAGACCATCAATTAAAATTAAACACCCTTCTAACATACTTTGGTTTAGCACCCTTTCAATGTGCCTTCTTCTAATTAATGACTTTTCTAATTTGATTTTTTTGTTAAATAAATAACTAATTGCGTTTTTTTATTCATCAAAATCAAATACATTTATAGAATATATTTAAACTCAAACATAAAATACACACTTGGTTTTAAATACTACAAAATACATATTAAATTAAAAATTCTCATAATTAATATTTGATTCATTTGTATTTCATTAACTTCAATTTTCAAAATTAATTAAAATATTAAAACAAATTATATAAACTTACCAGCAGCAATGCGTAATTACTATGTTCATACAAACTAAATTGCTTCCACACTATGAGAACTTTAAATGCTCTCTGACTGTATCGATTCTCTCAAACTGCAATGTTGGATTCTTGATCACTGCAAGAAAGCAAACATAATAAGCAATGTTTCACTGCTTTCCGTAGCAAGAACAGAAATTAAAGAGTAAGGAAATGAACAACGTCATACCAATGACTGAGAAAACTTATAACCATGTGGCCATTTTGGATTGGCAATTTGGCATGCAAAAAAACCATGTCAATCTCAAGATTGGGGAGGATACAGTTCCCACAGTGCAACTGTTGTGTCTTCCGAAGCAGAGGCCAATAATTTGCAATCGGTTGAATATGTAACAGCATTGCACTGCAATAAATGCATACTCTCAGTTAAGCAAAAGCAGCAAGAAGTTCAGCGGAGTACAGCACAAGAGAGAGCATAAAACATTTACCCAAAATCAAGTTAAAACTCTAAAGAAGCTTCTTCAATATAGATATTGACACCTTGATGATAAATAGAGGGATCAAGTTTATAAATACCGTAGCATGGTGATACTTCAGTACAGCCAAAGCATTTCCTTTGCGATAGTTATATATCCTGACTCTGACATCAAAGGCAACACATTACAAATGAGAAAACTAGGACCCACATTGTACAAACTAGTTTATGTACGTTTAACAATAACAATTACAGTCACTGGTATGTTTTTATATTGGTGAAAAATCATGTATGTTTTGTGTTTTGACTTGCTAAGGAACGAAAAAATACAAATCACCTCAATTGAGAGTAGTCTTGTAGGCACAATGAATTTTCTACAATCTTGCATGCCAAGATTATAATTCTAACTATGAACTTCCTTTGTCTAAACATTGCAACCCGTGACTTTAAAAAACCAGCAAGATCATCTTTAAGGGCACTTTAAAGATCAAATTGAGCTAAGAATATATTTTCCAATCAAAACCTAGTCAAAGTAAAGAAGATGCAAGATTCAATAGCCAACACGTATTGGCAATACTATCTCATGTTTTTCTTACAACAACTAACACTATATGATGTATCTTATTGCTTTGAAACTAGAATTACCTGGAAATTATGACAAAGAAAGCATGATCAATAATATTATTTGTAGTATGAACCTGTGGTCCCAACCAGCAGTTGCAGCAACTTTGCTATCTGGTCGAATTGAGGTGCCTGACACACCAGGTCGTTCCAAGCAGATCTCTTTCTTGATCACACAAGAACCCTGAACAGAATAATGGATAATTCAACATGAAGTTAGATAATGACACCTGAAATGGTTGCAGAAATCAACAAATCAAGCAGATGCCAATAAGAATAAATGTTTGTTGGAAAAACAAGACAAAAAAAAAGAAAAAAAACTAAGTGCCCCTTATGGAAGGCTGTTTGTTGAATGATAAACAGAAAGAGCTCGTCTCCTTGTTCTACGTAACTATGGGAAAAGGCCAAGATTTTGATATGGAAGAGTGCACCAAAACCATGACACACATAGCCAGAAAGGGGCTGAGAGATGTCATGTTTTGTAAACCAAAAAAGAAATCAATGGTTTGAGCTATTATTGTGAATCATAAGAAAAGCAGAAACAATGATCGATGAATCTTGTCATAACCTGCAAATCCAGATAAATTTTAAAAGTCTAACAATTTCTCAAACTTGTACCAAAAGGTCATATGAAAAAATTTTCTCATCCATCTTGCAGAACTTCAGCATGCCACCAAGTAGCAAAGATTAGACGAGTAGATGAATTTCACAAATCAGGACGGATGCAAATTACCACAGAAGTATCCAAACTATATAGGGCAATTTTGTCATCAGCAGCTCCTGAAATACCCCCATTGCAACACCCATCAATGCATAGGCTTAAAACTGCAGATAGCACATGCAAATAATCAACTTAGTAAGAAGGGAAAAGGTGAGAGGCATACAGATATGAGGTCCTACCTGGCTCTGTATGAAACTTCACAGAATTTACAAAATCCCCTGGATTTCGCATATCCCACAACAGCATAGAACCATCCTCATAACTGCCACAAGCAAGAAAAGGGAAACACAATTACAGTACAGAAATCGAACTCATAAATGACATCCAACTAGATGCGAGACAAAAATTCAGGAGTTTAATTTCAGTGTAAGGGACTAAAATACTCCTCCTTTTTAGCTATGATTTGAAATATTAAAGACCCGAAGAAGACAAATTTCAGATCTAATTGGTTATAAGGAATATTGAGTGGTGTATTCGCACTCCACTAATTGCTATTCCCCACTCAATATAGCATTCTTTTATAACTACTCTTTCTACCCATATGTGAGGCGTTATCTTGACCTTCCTTGACTAGGATCACTCCCACACCTGTAAAGTTTGTGATGAAAAGGCAGCACAGGTAATTAACATAATTAACATAACATCCCCGACCAGGATATTATGAACCAATATCATATACCAAAAAAGTCCCTCCTTATAAAACATTTATTTCCATATTCATGTATCTCAAAAAATTTGGTTGAGAAGAATAGAGCAGAGCAGAATATTACATATTTCTTTTACCAAAAGAGAACTTAGCTAAAAGACAAATATTTTTCAGAAGAAATATCATCATTGAAAAGAACAATGAAATGCAGGTTACAAAGTACAAAAGCTTATCAATAACCAAAAAAATTGGAAGCCTTGGATAGACAGACAATAAACATTAGGAAAACAATAAATCCAATATTTTTACATTTTCTCATTTTCCCCATCATTTGAAATCCCAAAGATAGCGCCTCTTGCAACTGGAGTTTCTTTTCTTCCTAGACCCTGATGGCTGGCACCTAGTAAATTTTGATTTTAGGTTCAAGAATCAAATCCCGTGAATCACTCAAAAATTGTGAATTTGCTTTAAAACCATTTTCAGTTTCCCAAATGGCCACTGTTGATGTTATCTCTTAACCCTTACAAAAACCTAGCTATTTGAACAACCTGATCCTCCAGATCATCAGTAAAGACGTTAGATAATCCTTAGACCAATTTTGTATTGCGGATGCACACCATAAAGTCTCAAAACTTCACCTCTCATCATTCTCATCTTGTGTGCACAAGGGAGAATGTTATTTAATGAATTGATGCAAATGTAGAACCTAAAAAGTTTTGTCTGAAAGGAAAATTGTGATATGATTTCTAGTAAGTTGTGAAACTTTGAACATGCCAGACTACTAAGGTGTTCAGTTAAGAAGAAGCCAAAGAAGAAGTAAATACCCAGCCAAGACATACAAAAATCCTTGTGATTCTGATGGTAGAAATGCTTGAACTGCCATGCACATCCCTGCAAAGAAACACTTGGTTACAACTTTGAAGATATCATGCATAGTATAAGGCATGTCTTTCCAATATAACTTCTTCATAATATAGATTCTTGTCATTCTATTTGTTTGTTTAAAAATCTGCTAAGAAATTTTTTTTTTTTTTTTTTCCTTTTCCTAACCTTTCTGTTGTAATTATCAATATGTGGGACCACATCTCCTACTTTTAGACTTGTGATGAAACTGATATAACTGCATATCCTACATACACACATATAAGAAATATATGTATTTCAGTACATACATAAGGCATCTGATATGACATAAATAAAATTTCTACTATTGGAATAAAACTGGATACCGATTGGACAAGAAGCACTCAGTAGGCCATCTATGAATTGACGGAAACTTTGTGATTAGGATCTTACAAACACATTGTTCAACAACAATATTACATGGGTTACTTATCGTAAACAATATTGCATTAAAGTTCCAATGGAAAAGATCTAATTGATCAATTCCCGATATATTTGAGGACAAGCACACAAAATTCTCTTTTTGCCAGAATCCCATGAACCATCTCCTTGTAGCTATAAAATAATCATGTATTTCTTCTCACTTGCCAATGACGACATATGGGACCCTTTTCATTTATCACAAAAGCTAAGAAAAGATATGAAATGGCACAATTTTGGATAATGGTTGATTTGAGAAACTGTAACACCATTTACCAGTTCATCACTCTTTGTAAAAGAACACTCATAAAAAACTGTTCTCTGAGTACCTATGGTGATTCCGCAGACAATAAATTAAACTATTAGCCTTCTATCAGTTTAGAAGATGGACTGCATATCTTATTAACAATACAGCATTGCCATAAAGTTACATTGGAGAAGGTGATCCAATTTTTATATCCTATTACCAAGTGTAAGAATTTATATAATGTCAGAAACAAACCTCTTTTGTTAGTAGAAATACTTGACGAACCATCAGACGAGGTCTGAGGTAATCGTACAATCCTTTCTGCAGTATTTAGATCCCATATCTCAACCTTTACATGTCAGAAATTCAGAAATTATGAGCATCCGGGCACCCAGAGATTCAAAGTAATAATGATATGCGCAAAAGATATGATAAAGATGCCTGTTGACCTCAGAAGAGTGCTCCCCAGCTACAGCAATGCACTTGGGTCCATCAGCATGCACATCTTCTGATAGACATCAATTTGTTAATTCTTATACCAAGAAATTTTGCAGTAACTTAGACCACTACAGGGGAAAAAAATCCAATAAACAGCCAAAATACTGGTGTAATCACTTCCAGGGAAAGCTACAAAACACTTTTCTCACTTCATAATGATTAATCATCTGCTCATAAAATTCTTAAAATAAGAGTGATATTGTGGACCTGAAAACATTTTCCCTGGAAAGCTATTGAATTAGGATTCGAAGACAAGTTGTCAGTGATCAATTAAAATAGCCTAATTTGTACATTATCGCCAATAAAGCATCATATTGCTTGATGCAAACTCCATCAACAACAAATCCCAAAATTGAACAGACTGCCAACATACCCCACTGTTTTTGCTTGTTTTTCTTCTGATTTTCTTAAAGAAAAAAGTCCTAGATTTCCTTCATACAGCTCAAAAAAAAAAAAAAAAAAAAAAAAAAAAAAGAACTATCAGCACTTTCTTTCTTTGCTTTTTTTTTCTATTTCCCGTTAGATAATAAGTAGATAATAGTTGGCTCTCATGAAAATGGAAAATGGAGGCATGCTGATGGTATCATATTCAGGATGCTTTACAAACTTAGGAAGCATCTTCATCCTTGTAAATAGTAACCAAAATCCTTACAATTTTAAATTCCAAAGTTAATGTTATCACTTCAAATATTTTGATCGAATGATGACACAAAACATGGTAATGTTTCGCCATTGAATAATTCTCTATATCAGAAATCCTAAGAGAAGTTTCTACAGTATTGGTAAAGCCATACCACTCAAAAAGTACTTCATGTACAGTTAGTTAAAAGGCATCAACTAAATCAGAGTTGCTCCTTTACCAATTTAGGCCAACTTTGCAACAGTTAACAACTAAAGCAAATATAAATAAGATCAAAAAGTCTCATAGCATCCCATACTAGCAACATTAGGAGTCAATAGTTGGGCAAAACCTTCAAAGTTGCTGGAGCACTCAACTGGATCTTCTCTATACTTTATTCCTTTATCACCCAAAGGATTGGCATCAATAGCTTCTCTAGCGTCCTTCTCATGTTGAAGATTAGGCCTTTCACCTTGCCTGACACAAGAATTAGGCTTCTTGACTAAAGAGAGCTTGCAAAAATGGTAAGCTTTTGTTTTGATTGTTAGTGAAGGTTCCCTGTCAAATAAAAGCAAATCTGAGATTAGCTTAAGCACATGACAGAGAATATTCAATGTTAATCTTTATAATGCAACATGAGACATCTGCAGTCAAATCAACTTCGATAATTTCCAAGATCTAGCTACTTATGCCAGTGCCTGAGCACATACACATTTACAGTTGCTTATTATTTTGAATCACTCATAAGAAACATCACACGCTTACAGAACAGAATAGACTTCGACATCAAATGTCTTACTGCTATTATTCAAATATTAACACAAGATACATTTGTAAATTTTCCTACTTCAATTAGTCAAGTTTCTTAATAAAGAAAGTCATGAAAGTAGATAATAGAAGACACAATTACCCAATCTAACTCAGATTTTTAGATAAAAGCATAAGCTGAATAAAGATGTTTCCACTAGTAATGAAGAAGAGCCTGCTCATGTGGAACTACTAAATTTTCTGAATCAGAGTTGGACCATGCCAAGAAAAGACATTTTGACATACATTTTCCATCATCTTTAGTTGGCTTAGTACTCAAATGAGAGGATAGATTAGAAAAGGCCGCTTTGCACCAATAATCATCTAAATCTAGGCTGCTGGACCATATCAATGCATCTAAAAGAAAAACCCCAAATTGCCACACACAACTTGGTTTATACAATAAAATATCCATTAAAAAAAAAAAAAGGAAAGAAAGAAGGGCTTTCTACCTTGACAAACCACCATTATCAATATCCCAGCACTTAACAGTTCCATCCCTACCCTGGCTACACAAGTTGCAAAAAAAAAAAAAAAATTAAAACCATAAGTCTATAAAAACCTCATAAAAAAATTAACAAACCTTAAAAGAAAGTAAATTATCACGAAAACAATATCATTAAAGTTTTTTTTTCTAAATCAATTACAAAAAAAAAGCACCTGATAACTTTGCTGTCGCCAATCAAAGGACTGGCAGCCACAGATATTATCCCATGAGCCGCACTATGCACCCTTTCAATCAATACAAAATAGACAATCAAATACAAGAAACAAAAAACAAAGCCTTAAAATTAATTAATAAAATGAATACCAAGCAGATGATACTGTTCGATGTTGTACAGTATCCCAAATTCTTAACTCTCCATCTGTAGAACTGCAGTTCCATTCAAAATCATAATTAGATAAATAAATATAAGTAAATACATGATATTAAATTTAATTAAAAGAAAATAGTGAAAATGTTACCCGGTGAAAAGTAAAGGCTCAGAAGGATGGAAAGAAGCATCCATAACAGAGGCGCGATGGCCTCTAAGGACAGCTACTGGATCAGGTGGTGGCCTTTTGCTCATGCTTGATTATAATACACTATATGCTGCAGCAATAAATGAGATTATTATTATTATTATTATTATTCAATGAATACTGTAATCAAGAGACTTGCTTCAAGGAAAAACAGCAAAACAACCAGCTAATTACATAGAGGCGAAGAGAAAGGAAGGTTTCTAAAGTTTACTAAGGGGAGGTGATATCCGCACTCCACCCTCGGTTAACCACATTCCCACTAGTTGTATCGAGACCAGACGGTAGTGATGAGAATAGTGGCAGTTGTATTGAAAGCAGACGGTAGTGATGAGATTGGTGGATAGAGGTTGGATTATAGGGAGATTAGCGAGAGAGATGAACGGTGGCGGGAGGGGAAGGTTGTTTTTTGGCAGGTATATTTAGGCCATGAAGGAGAAAAAGAAGAAGAGATTAAAGGGAAAAACGAAAGGAAAAATGAAAGAAAGAAAGGAATGGACTAGGACAGAATGAAAAGAAAATGGGGCTGGGCTAAGAAATAAATAAAATGGGCTGGACTCAGCCTAGCCTAAGAAGAAAGAATAGGTGGATTTTACTGGGCTGACTTGGGCTGGCCTGGACAGCTTGGGTTAGGCCTAATGGGCCGAAAGCCCAATGTGCCTAAAGCCCAAATAACTTTCAAATTTTGTTACAATTTATTTTAATTATCTTCCATTATTTAATTAAACCTAAATTTTTTATGCATGCTTCATGTTTTCATTTCTAGTCTAGGTTTAAGTTTTTAGAATTTTTGAAATTCCTTTGCCTATTTATTTTAATTTATTTAATTTCATGCCTAGTCATTAATTTCTTTTAGTTTTTAAGTTTCAATTTAGCATATTATTTAATATTAATTAAATCTAAAATTGTGGTGGTAGATTGTAGACTCATATGTATGTTTTAAGTTTTTATCTTTTAGGTTTTCGTAATTAAATTTTAGATTTATTTTAATGTTGAATGTTTGATTAAATAACTGATAGTTAAATTAGGTAATTAATAGATGAACAAATCGTCGAGTTTTCCAATTTTATAGGGATTGATGACGATTCTCCACCAGCCTCAAAAAATATATAAAAAAATAAAAAATGAAAAGAAAAATGATAAAAAAAATAAAAAGAAAAGAAAAAGAACAAAAAATATAGAGAAATGTTATGTGAAAATTAACAAGTCTCCTAACTAATTGAGACCGATGTTAATTCAAATCCATCACCTTAGTAATAAGGTTATTCTTTAATATATCGGTTATGTCGAGACTTAAAACTGGATTCGATGTTAAATTGACAAGACTCTCGGCGATGGAGTTCGATGATCGATTCAATAGGATACCATAAACAAAAATAAAAAAAAATTATTTGACTTAGTTAAATAAACTCAAAATGTTGACTTGAGAAATAATTTAGTAAAAATAAACATTTTTAGGAGATAAACTTTTAAAATTAAACCGATCATGGTACCATTTTTCGAAAATGATATTTTTAAGTGATTGATATCTTTAAAAAGACATAACTAATTTTTTACCCTAAAATCTATGAACCAATGCCATTTTTAGGTTTCTTAACTTCCTTTAAAACTACGTGATGACTTTAAAACATAATTTAACTCATATTCTTAGCAAATAAACAAAAAATATAATTTTTAATTAAAATGTTTTGGAAATTCCCTAAATGTCGGTTAGCGATAAGAAGAATGCACTTTCACAATAGAAGAAAGATGATTAAAAGTTAATGGGATGAGCTTAAACTACCGAAGGCTTATTTGTAAGAAAAGAAAGAGAGGCTTGACCCCCATCGAGAAAAGCATTAACGACCCCATAAGTCCCTATAAGACTTTCATGGAAATTCTCCGGAATGGTTTCCTACGACCTCCAAGAAGGCTACCAATTCTTAGGCAACATCTCTCTCCATAGTCACAACCGATAACCACTAGACCCCTTACACTTTCGAACCGCGCCCAACCCTTTCTTAGTAAGGGCCTTCACTAAGGATCCTCTTATGTCTTCCAGATCACTTCTTCATTTCGTTCAAAGAGATTATATATCCTTATTTTTCATTTAAAGACCTACAAGATGCCTTTGAAAAGCTTCCACGACCTCAAACATCTCATTTTCTTTGGTTTTCCACCTATAAAGAAGGTAGGCTTGCATTTAAAAAGACCCTATATAAAAAAAGGAAAAATAAAGGAAATGGACGAATATCGAAATAGCATATATATATATATATATATATATATATATATATATGAGAGAGAGAGAGAGAGAGAGAGAGAGAGAGAGAGAGAGAGAGAGAGAGAGAGAGAGAATGAACAAAGACTAAAATAACACATTTATAGCAAAGCTCAACTACATGACCTCTTCTAGCTACTTAGCTAATGAGTCACTTCCCTAAAGTCTCATGTCGGTAGGAAGCAAAATGATCTTCCTAAGTATGGAATAAGGCCCAATCCTTCTTTCACTCTCAATGAAGTAGAGTCTTCAAACAATTCCTTCTTAAATGAAGATGTTCTACAAAGAGAGAAGGTAATAGGGCACTTTCTAAACTAGGGTTCGACCTTTAAACTATTTCCCCAACAATCTTTTTTCCTAATTAGTGAACATCCAAAGGGAAACCTCGATTAGAACCAAGGGTATAAGTGCCAAAAGAAAGTTTTATCCTTCAAAATGGATAAGAGAACCTTTTTCCTCTCCTATTCCTACTTCTAAATTATAGGGAAATCTATATAAAACTATTCGAGATCACTTCCCTTTTAAGAAACGAGCCAACTACAAAGCACAAAGGACAAGAGAACTCCAATAATTGAGGTTAAGAAAAGCCCATGCAAAACTTAAAGATCGACGAATCTACCTCGTGAGCTACGGATCGATGATAGCCTTATAATGAGTAGATTGACCCAATACCTCCTTCATTTGCTCCTCACCAAAATCCCTAAATACCTCCTCAATGTCTATTTAGTCATGACAAAATCTTAGGAAGAAATTATTGGTTATTGCAAAGAAATGAAATCAAACGAGCATATATAGGAAAAATAACAAATACGAGTGATACCGAGGGCGATAAAAAGTTTTGGTGCCTATTTTATATACAAATTATGCTTGACTTAAAAAGAAAAAAAAGATATGAAAATTTTCTAAACTTTGAAGAAAGGGGACGTGCTTATGATTAAAGATTTTATAAGAGCATACATAAAGCTAGAAATAAATAAGGAAAACTTGGAGAGACTACGAGAAACAACAAATGTGATTGACCTAAGGATCGCAATAAGGAATCTTGCTAGAAAAAATTCGAGGTGAGATGAATTGTCTTGATTAAACATCCATAAGATTGCAAAAAGGATAGATCAAAACTCGAGATTGAGTTTTTATCAATCCGAGGTGCTTGACATAAAAGTGTGGCCCATTCTAACTTAGTTATACTCGGTGAGTCGAATTTTCTAAATTAGTTAAACTAAGGCTAAAATTTTTTGTTATGTATTTACTTTTCTTATGTGATTTAGATTATCTACTTTTCTTATTTGATTTAAGGTTTTACATTGTTATTTAGAAGTCCGTATTTGTACGAGATTGAACTAGAATTACTTAGTCCTTCTTGAATGTGGATTTGACCTAGGTTTCCTAATGGAATTAGGCTAAAGTTTTTGTAGTTCAAACTTGGATAAGTTTTCTTTATTTAGTCAAAATTATGAGCTAGCATTTAAGGCATTTTATGCCATATAGAGAAACAATTTGATGTGTTTTTTAGTAATAAAATTTTTTAGAAGTTTCTCCCAAATTATCTTATATATCCTTATGCTTTCGCAAAGAGTTTTTATGCATTATCCTTGACTTGCTTAGGATTTCGTATTTATTGTATCTTTGAAATTGATCATCAAGATGATGCTTTTATTGATCGGTAATTTAGCTTGTAGTAGCATTTCATATCCTTAACTTGCTTAGGATTTCATGTTTTTTGTATCCTTGAAATGATCACTCAAGATAGTGTTTTTATTGATCAACAATTTAGCTTGTAGTAGCATTTCAAATCTCGTCAAAATCAATTGAAAATAAGATTTTTCATTACTTGAAAATTTTCGACCTTGTCTAATTTAAAGTTAGAATTTTCAAAAATTTTCAAGATTGTTAAGGAGATTGTAGCTTCCTTAATTATTTAAGAAAGTAGTTTCAACTAATGACAACTAAAAATGCTTGGATCAATCGATTTGGTATAAAATCATCATAAAATTGGTGTCGTTACCAATCTTTAAGAACTAAAATGGAACAAAATTTTGAAAAAAAAATGGTCATTTTATGTAAAAAAAAAAAAAACAAATTATAAAACAACATTGTTTTAAACCTAATAAACAATATACACTATCACATATGAAACCTTATGCATCGGCTGAAAATCACTGCAAAATAATATAAAACCACCGCATTACCTTTATCGCAGCAATTTACCAGCACGCTATATCGACTAGAACCGCAATAAGTTAATAGAGTGGTTTCCATATATAACGACAACAAAATACGTTTCGTTATCTAATACCTCTCAATTGCAGTGGTTTCTTGTTACTTTAGATAAAAGTTTAGAGAGTGATATGGCATCGGTTTAGGTCAAAACTCATGCGGCGAGTTCTTATAATATATGCAACTGTTATTGACATGTTTAATGCGGCGGTTTTAAATCATCTAATGCAACGATTTATATAATATATTATGCAATGGTTTTAAATCAACTAATGCAACGATTTATATAATATATTATGCAATGGTTTTTTGTCATTGATAGTGGTTTTTCGTTGTGTAATGCAGCAGTTCAATTCTTTTAATGCAATGGTTTTTCTATATAAAAACTAACTCTTTCTATCTCTAACATAACGGTTTATCATAGTAATGCAATGGTTTATAAAAATATTTAATACAATAATTTAAAATATTATTGCAATCAATTTTTTTTCAATTACGAGCATATTTGATTAAATGATTATAATGCATTTGTAATAATTTAAAAAAGAATTTAAATATTAATTAATAACAAAA